TTTTCAAGGACTTTTCAAGGACCGAATTTATTTTTCAAGGACCCACCAATAAATGTAAATAGTGTAATGTTACAGGTTAAATAATGTAAATAACATGCACCTTTTCAATTAACAGGATTTTAATGCCTGAAGTTTCTCCTCCATCTTCTTCTCTAGGTTCTTTAGTTCCTCTGCCTTCTCTTTGGACGTTTTTCTTAGAGAATTTGACTGTGTCACAAAAGATATATCTCTGGTCGATTCAGCCTTCTCAGACAAATTATCTGCCGACTTAATTAAAGAGTCAATGTCCTCATTCATTCTCCTCTTTTTCTCTTTAAGTTCCTCAATTTCATCCAACAAAGACTTCCGCTTCCGACTTCCTTCTTCAGATTTCTTGTTCTGTCGTTGTTGGTCCAGGTACCTTTCATAACGTTTTCTTGCTCCTGCGCATGAGGTGAGTAAAGGCTGGGTAAGAGGTACATTCAAGACGCCACCAACAGCATTTAAATGATCACACACAAGGCGTTGAGCCACGAGTGATTGATTTGCTAGATTCTCAATTTCAAGCTCCTTATTCACTGAGAAACCTCTCTCTACTGAAGCTTGACCATGAGACAGGACTAAAAGGAGCTGTACTACTTTAAACAACTTCTGGTAAGACTCGGTATTCATATAAGTGCTGAACAGCTCATCTAATCTGTCAGTACTAAATTTGAAGTTCAAAAACTTCTCAGATCCAAAGGCTGGTATGTTGTCCAGAAAACTAGTGTACTCCTGGATTATGGCATCACAGTCACTTTCTTTGATCCTTCTGACATTCACAAGTTGGGATACAACCCTTTTAAACCTGGATATGGACTGGTCTGCATCAGAAGCCATCTCTCTGGGGTTCAAAGCACTCAAATTTCTCACCAAGGAATATGAAGCAGGACATTTGGTCAAAAGCTTCTGTAGAAGTTCTATCAGAAAGGTCTTGCACTGCAATCTGAATTCCAAAACTTGCTTTTCACTTGCTCCAACAGAGTCTTTTAGTGCCTTTTCAGTTAAGAAACCAATGTCAATCTTTTTGTAGTTTACATGGATTTGTTTATCGGTGACGTCAAGTTTGACAAGCTTATCAGCAGTTGTAGCTTCTGACAAAACTTCTTTCTTCATAAACCTTCGCATTAATGATCTTAGGAGGTTGCACAGTTCACTAGAAAGGAAGGGTGTTAGGGGTTTGTCACTTTGAAATGTAACCAAAAATGGTTGAATTTGCCCTGCTACACACTTGAAAAATTGCAATTTAGCTCTGATTAGTTTGTCCTTGGTAGCTTCAACAATTGTTTCATATGATTTGTTCCCTGGTTTTGTGATTTGCTTGGATTCAGCAGCTCTCACATACTTGAGTATGTCCTCCCACAGTTCTAGAGCTCTTTCACAAACAGTCTCATTCTCCAGCCATCTGTGATTCACAAACTTGAGGGGCAACCTGGTGCTGCCAGAAATCTGTAAGAAATCTTCCCGCCTTGCAGGTGAATCTTTAAAAAGATAATAAAGGCTTGACAGCAATGCTTCCACTTTCCACTCTGCTGCAGTTGCTCCAGTTTTAAAGCTATTGTGCACAATGTGGAGTCCACATGATCCTATGTTTATCAAAATTGTATCAAAATCATCAGATAGTTTCTTCTTCATATTTGTAAAGAACTTCCAATTAACATTAGGTCCATCCATGCTGATTTGTACCAGGTTGCAAA